AGATTCCAGGACGTTTCGAAGGAAAACCAGGAGCGGCTTCAATCTCTCACTGCACTCAGCATGTTGGTTGGAAGCGCAGGAGGATGTCAAATCGGTCTTGGTGGATTTTGTATTGGGCATTGTAGAAGGAACAGATATCTGCTGAAGTGTCACATTCGATTTAATGCTTAATGGCTGATTATCGATTTTCGAAGCGGTATTTCGTTTTACAGATCTCTTCTCATAATTTGAGGTAAGGGAAGCTCCGTTGCATCTGTACAGACGGAGGTTGTGGCTTCCGGCTCAACGTTTTCTTTCGATTGCTCAAGATTTTCCACTTCACTTGGGGCAAAATCTTGGTCTGTAAACACTCCAGGGTTGATAGGTACAATGCCACACATGCTGAAAGCGTTGATGGCTTTTTCAATTGTTGCACATGTGCAGTAAGCCATCCCAAACAGTTCAGCCACTTGATATTGGGTAATGACCCTTCCAGGATGAGACACAAGCCAATGATTACAAGCTTCAGCATATTTGGTCTTGAGGGCCTGAAAGAAACAACGATCCAACGGTTGGACTTTTTGGCTACTGTGTGGTGGGATAGACAGCAACATAATCCAATTTTCTCGACAGTAGAGAACTGTTTCCAACGATTGATGCATGCTGTGATTGTCCAAAATGAGCATAACCGGGTTCTCTTTGTTGCGTTGGTGTGTTTCTGAAAATGCTGTGTCCATTGGAAGAAAAGATCTGAGTTTATGTATCCTGAATCAGCGACGAACATTTCCGTTCCTGGAGGTACCCCGTTGAGTAGCTCCGGCTTTTGGCGCTTTCTCTTGAAGATCAGGACCAGTGGCAAGTAATTCCCAACAGCACGCATCGCGCATACCGCTGTGATCAGCTCTCCTCTCTCAGCCGAGCTTATTTTCCCAACCGCTTTCTTTCCGGATGTAGATACGACTTTCGGGACATTGTTGGGCACTGTGAACATTCCTGTTTCATCCATATTGTAGATCCGATCTGGTATAAACCAATACTTTGTTGTCACATCGCTTAGGTTGTTGAAAACATTGTTAATCTGCACCCGGTTGAAACCCACCATCCTATACAGCAAAAAAATCTGAATTTTAATTGTGATGTAAAGATACATTCACGTAAACTTGTATTTTATTTCACGCAAACGAGCAACTTGTAAGCACTGTTGTTTGCAAAGATGGGCATTTGTATACAATAATTGAATCATTTAATCAAATGTCCCAGAACATTACACGACTTATAATGTAAACTTATATGAAATTCACACTATTTTTTCGAACTGTGTAGCAAGACTGGTTTGTTGGGGAGTTCGCAGCGACAAGGTGTGACTACGCATGAAAGAAAGCGTCCATTCTTTACCAGCTATCTTGTATTCCGGATGAAATCGATGTGCGACCTTGTTTGACTCGGCGTACTGAAAAACTGCTCTTCGGAGATCCATCAGCGATAATCCGTAGAAGGAGTCATCGAGATTCTTGCAATGTCCCGCTAGTTCTTTTTCTTGCTCTTCGGTAAAGATTGATCTAAACCGCGCACCGTAGCCCTAAAAAGGAAACACAACAAATTAAACTACGATTTGCCGTTAACAACTTTGATAAATTTATCTTCTTCAGTCTTTGGCGCAATGCAGCTTCCGTAATTCCGAAACTATTGGCAATACAGCAGTTCCATTTTAAATGACGATTTTTTTTTAAATTTTTTGATCGACCTTCTACGATTATGTTGAAACTTTGCACAGTTGTTTGTTATTGTCCAACATGTCATTTTACATATTTGGTTCCCTAGTTTTGTACACGACTAACGCTTGAATAGGGGAAAAGGGCTTATGCAAAAATGATCCGCATCAATGTATCTCCTATGCATCACGAATTAGAGCGGGCAGAACTTGTTACTGTTTTTCAGTGAATGTAAAATACATTCACTGAAAAACAGTAGTGGCTTCTGTTCGCTCTGGTTCGTCATACATAAGAGATACGGATTTAAGTTGTTAAAAAAAGTTGTGGCTAGTAAAAACCTACAAAAGTTTCATGCACCATTTTGCGGAATTCTGTTGATGAAAAAAGTTAGGGGCAAATGAATGTAAATGAATGTTCGAAGTGAATGCAAATGATTTTCCATGCCTGATAAGGAGTGAAATAGAAGCGCGATTTCACATGCCAGACCTTTGTAGATCGAGGTTCATCTTCGATAGAACGAAGTTGCATCCATTAACCTAATTTGAGTATAGTAGACCGACATTACATCCACGTACCTAGATAGTTTTTCATGTTGAAATAGTGAGTTTTACAATTTTAGGTCGTGTTCAATTAAAATACAAATAATAAGAATATCTAAACTTCCCTCCCCTTGGCTAGTTTTTAACCTGGACGTTGGTGGGTGGGCCTAATCTTATGCTTCATAGTGGAGCGTTGGAGACGGTTGGTTTAGGTCCGGCATCGTTGGCTCATGCCATGGCAGAATAGGCTAGGGCGTAACTAGGGTAGGGCAGACAGGGCACCGCAGTCGAGGGGGCACCGCGGCGTCCCCTTGGCTGCGGAAATTTTTTGGGTACAAAACCATTTTGGGCGCAAAAAGCGATCACAAAAAAACCCACTCTAATGATATCTAGAAATTTTCGCAGTCGAGGGGGCGCCGCGGCGAATGACATTTGGGCGCGTAGCGCGCCCACGGAAAACGAAAAGTGCACCCGATGCGAATGAGCGGTGCCCGACGTTGCGGAAAGGTTCGTTTGGGCGGATTGCTCCCCCGCCGGGATCGCTGATTGGCGGATATTTAGTTTGTAAGGTCATAAAAAATTATCGCGAAAAAAACTAACTCATTTTTTCAGTATTCCATCGACTGTTCTCATAAATATTAACATGCTGATAATTATGACTGTAAATTGACAGTCCGCAATGCGCTGCAAGCGCGTAAGCTAACGAGATTTGTGATCCTATTCTTATAAGCGGTTTGAAATCTCCCGCATCGCGGTTGATACCAGCAGTCGTAACTGGGGGTAAGCAGTGAACGAAAGGCTTCTACCATACCGACCTCTCATGTAGATGTCGCTTCAATAAAAACAGCAGAGAAACTCTGTTTACTTTTGCGCCCAGATTGTTCAGAAGCATTACCAATGCATATTTTCGTCATCGTGCTTTTCAGCTCCGAGGTAAGCAATTGATCATGAAGTATGTTTGTTAATTAATGTCTGCAAGTAAGTATTTATGTTTGGGTAATATCGTGATAATGAAATACCATATATGTGAGAAGAATGTCTCACTGACGTTTTTAAATCGTTTCAACTACGTTTAAAATGTAGTCGGACGATAGTCAATAACGATATGAGAATGTTTTACATAAACGTGTTGAAAAAGTTTTATGAACTTGAAAATCAAACATTTTGATTTGTTCACATTGTATTTAAACGGTTTGAACGTTTTGAAAACGTTTTTAAACTTATCTTATCTAACGTTTTAAAACGTTGTGTACAGTAACGTCCAACAGTCCTCAATAAAAATTCTACTTCCGTAATATCCTCGTTGTATCACTAACGCTGTTACTTTTGCTTCAGATTGTCATCTGCACTCGACAAGAACGCCAATAACTCTTAGTCAACCTAAAACTTAGTTAATTGTGAGGTAAGAATAATAAGGGTCGTAGTTCGTGAATGTCAGGTTTGAAAATTATTCGTCTAATCAAAAACATATGCATATTATAGAGCGTATAGAAAACGGCGATGAAACGTACGCTTGTAAAGAAAAAGGAGTCTGGTGCGGAGGGGCGGAAAAGGCGCAAGTTGGAGACAGAGGAAGCCAAAAAGTCAAGTCAGCTTCTGAAGAGTTTTTTCGGAAAGCCCGCTCCTACAGATCCCCTTTCATCGTCGTCAAGTCTGGCTGCTTTGAACTCTAATGCATCAGAGATGGAGCCGGAAGACCAAACATCAGACAGATCCACCGAAACCACTGAAGATCACGCTGAACCGGACACTGCCTGTTCTACGGTTGGAGATGCTGGCGACGCTGCTCAAGATCCCAGGGGACCCGTCATTCCAAATGTCATCAATAGACACGACATTGGACTTCTGGAATTCCACGGTGCTGCCGGAAAAGTCAAGGTTGCTGATTCTCTGAGAGTGGAAATAGTCCAGTTGGGTTCCACCTATTTCCAGAACGACGAGGGGCCGTTTGCACCAACAAACAACCGGTCGATGAACAAATCCTGTTCAAAAGGACACTGGCGAACGGGGAGAAGGTGACTCGGTACTGGCTAGTTTATTCTCCAGCAAAGCAATCAGCTTTCTGCATCTGCTGTTTGCTCTTTTCTCGATCAAACCCTCAGTCGAGTTTGGAGCAGGAATGCGGATTCAATCATTGGAAAGCACCTGAGCGCATGACTGTTCATGAAATGTCGAAGAATCATCGTGAATGCTTCACTCAATGGAAACAAATGGAACGGACTTTGGCCGAGAACAAAGGATTGATCGATGTGGAGCTGCAGTCAGAGATTGATGTGGAGAAACAAAAATGGCGAGACATCCTGGAACGACTTATTCACTGCATCAAGTTTCTTGCGACGCAAAACCTGGCTCTGCGAGGACACCGAGAATCTCTCCAGTCGGACGACGCCTCCAACGTCGGGAATTTTCTTGGACTCTTGGACTTTTTTTCGCCGCCTTCGACCCTGTCATGCAAGCGCACCTCAAAAATGCCAAAAATCGTCCCGGATCGGCAGCCACACAGAACGAGTTTATCCATTTGATGGCGTCTACTGTTCGCGAAAATATGCTCGAAACGATCCGTCAAGCGAAATATTTTGGTATCATGTTTGATTCGACCCCTGATCAAGCACACCGTGAGCAAGTTTCAGAAGTAGTTAGATATGTGGACGTGGATTTTACAAAGGAAACGGTACGTGTTGCAGAATCTTTTCTAGGATTCATCCAGATCAACCTGAAAGACGCTGAGAGCTTAGTTGGGACCATTTTGAGCCAGTTGGAGAAAGACGGTATGGACCTCCAGGATTGCCGGTCGCAGTGCTACGACAACGCTGCTGTGATGGCGGGACACAAAAGTGGTGTTCAACAAAGGATCATCGAGAAGAATCACCTGGCAGTTTTCGTGAACTGCGACAATCACTCACTCAACTTGACTGGTGTCAACGCAGCCAAACAGGACGTTATGATGGTGACTTTTTTGGGACCATTCAAGCTCTCTACGTATTCTTTTCCTCCTCGACTCAGCGCTGGGAAAAACTCAAGATTGCTGTTCCTAAAGTTGTGAAATCGGAGTCAACAACCAGATGGAGCGCAAAGGTGGAAGCGGTGAAGCCCATCAACAATCACCTCGACGAGATACTCCAAGTACTTCAAGCCATGATGGATGGTGCCACGGAGACCACAGACACACGGAGCGAAGCGAGGCAGCTCTACAACCGGATGTTGACTCCTGAATTTTTGACCCTACTTGGATTTTGGACCAACGTGCTTCTCCCGATCGACCGAGTCCAGAAAAGGTTGCAAGATCCGGCGATGAACTTCCACGATGCCGCGTTAGACCTGGAAAGCCTACGAGATCATTTCTACAACGAGAGGGAAAGACTAGTGAGTAAAGCTCTGGAGGTTGGGCTTAATCTCTGTCAAGAGTGGGAGGTTGAGACGGAAAGGCGACCAAGACGAAAGAAGACAATGGCTGGCGAAACATCTAAAGATGCTGGATTGAAAACAACGCAGGAAATCGAACGAGCTATGAAGGAGACGATCGACCGCCTGCACACCGAGATGGACGACAGATTCACTCGTTTGCACGACACTGATGCGAAGTTTGGCTTTCTTCTCGACGTCGAGGGATTATGTACCGGTATCAGCAGAGACATCTTGAAGACAAAGTGCGAGAACTTCGGCCAGACTTACAACCGTGATGTTGATGGTGAGCAGCTGTACGAGGAGATTTTGGACTTCAGAATGATGATCAGTACGAGGACGAACGTCAAACTAACACGACCTGAAGATGTTCTGCTGTTCATCGTGCAATACGGAGATGAGAGCGTGTTCCCGAATCTTCGAATCGCCATTCAGATCTTATTAACGATTGCTGTTTCGATTGCGAGCTGCGAAAGATCTTTCAGCAAATTAAAATTGATTTTAAACTATCTTCGAGCCTCCATGGGACAGGATCGGTTGAGCGACCTTGCTTTGCTGAGTGTTGAACGGGAAGAGGTCGAGAAGATTGATTTTAACTCCATTATCGATGCTTTTGCCGCAGCGAAGGCGAGGAAGATACACGTTTAGAACGGACGCAGACGTCAGTTTCTTCTAATGTACATGATTGTTAATATACATGATTGAAAATATACAGTGTGATTTATTTTGTGGTTATACTTATTTTTATAGGTTAAAGATAATCGGTTGATACTTCAATGATTCAGTACATTTTCATGGGGGGGGGGGGGGGCGCGATCTCAGTAATTGCCATGGGCGCCATTTCGCCTTGTTACGCCACATGCCGCATGCGATGAGAATTATTGAGCTTCCCCTCTCTGATGAACCACTGCATGAGAAAAGCAAAGATCTAGTCTAGCAGTGATAGTATCACACCTGTTACTCCTTTGTTTGAGAGCCACGTCGTAGTACGCTTACGTATAGGCACTGACGTTGGGTGCGATGCTGGCGGGTTTTTCCGCAAATCACTCTTATTTTATTTATTTTTACACAGTTTTCACGAGAATAGTACCATTGAAATATTTCAGAAAGTGTCCAACAGTGCTCCTTCTACTTGCGTGACAAGCTTTCATTGTTGTTTTCATTGAAGCATTACTCAGGGAACACTGTTAAACACCATTTTTGTACATGGTATTGTAACAAATCTTATACGTGCTTCATTTTGATTTGGGATAAATGTATGAAATGATTTCCACTGTGGCGTGCTTCTATTGTGACATATCCATACGTAATTTTGTGGGATGTGTGAGCGTGGTTGGAGCATATACCCTATATAATTTAAGAACCAGCTAGGAAACTAACAACAAAGTGAAGCATTTTAGTCACTTGAAGGTATCACCTGGGACGAACTAATATATAATAAATATAAGTCAAAGTCAAAAACCAACTTGAAACACGTTAAACTTTAGATAACATGCACAAGTGGAGGTACTTCATTGCAAGTTTTATAGTGGTTTTAAAGCATGCTACAAGTCTAAATCATGGTCTACAGAAACCTCATAAAACCAAAATTTGTAAGGTAGATTAGAGATTTCAATTTTTTATTGAATTAGGCTAATGAGATATCATATTCATCAAACGAACATAAATAAGAAAATTTAGACAGCCTAATAACATTAAGTAGATTAACAAAAGAGTAAGGATGTGGGGGGTCCGCTTAGGGAGGCAACTAACCTTTTCATTTATTGTCTGTTTTTTTTATGGTTGCTTTAAAATATCAATTTGGTATATATGTGAAGGGATGAATCAGTAATCTAGTGCTATGTGTCATTTCCTCAAAACCCCCCAATAATCGACCTCTTCAATCCCTTCCTTTTCCCATGGCGTTCAAGTGGTCCGCATAGACTATTCAGTCTCTACCCTCGGCTTTGGATTGACTTGCGCTCCCATTGCCCCACCAAACGCTGCAAAATGAAAATGAAAATGAATGTGAAATGAAATAATAAGAATACCTATACTTGCGTTTTGCCAGTAAAATATTGTTTGCAGATCAATTATTAAACAAGATATGATATGAAATGTAATTGAAGGCTTCATATTAGACCGAGGTTAGGGGCATGTACCCCATATACAATTTTCGAGCTTCGAGAAGCAAAAGGATAAGACAGAAATTATTAAAGAGGCTACTCAAACAACACCTTCACGAGCAACCAGAATCAGTGATTCTGAAAAGAAAAATCAGAGAGTATACTCTTTCAAATAATTGTTTTGAGTGTAGCTTTTTTCGTGGATTTTCAATATATTTAACATAGTGTACAAAGTTGTTTGCCGTACAAAAATACATATTTTTGCCGAACATTGTAACATGCTATCTCTTAAAATTAATATATGTATTAAAAAAAATAGACATTTGCAGGAGTTTTTTAGTTATTAAAAAACACCTAAAAGATCGCGTGCTGCCACACGTTTTTATAACTTTTCGGCAGTAAAAAAATAAAGATTCATAATCCATCCTAGAATTGTGCGCCAATTTGCGCCGGAGCATTTTAAGCAGCCTCTGGCGGAACTTGGACGGAACTTTTAGAAAATAAATTAAAGAAGGTTTTTGTCCTTTACACCAATTCTATATTTAGTTCGTATTTTTATGAAAGGTAATTTCTAAAGGCAAGTATTAAGATGTATTGATTTATCAGCATTAGTAGTAGAATTGGAGCTGTTTGAAGAATTAAACCCAGTCCTTCTGCGCGAGAGCCCTAGCACGAACCGCTGCGTCATCTGAGATATAATAAAGTGAGCTGTTGTCCCGCCTACTGTTGGAGTTTTCAGTGCCAGCTGACTGACTTGAATATAAAACACAACACCTTGATGAATTTTAAATTGGTGTTTTCCCTCGTGGTATTCCATCACACTTGTGGTGCAGTGTTTAGCAATCGTAGAACGCATGCCGAATACACGGGTTCAAATCCAGGAAGTTACTTTTTATTTTTTTTTATGTTGCATAAATATAAGAATTGTGATTTATTCGGGTCACTGATCATTTCATATTTACGTACATTAAATTTTGTTACTAATAAAGACATGTGCGGATGGCTTCATGTGGCTTGAAAGTTCTGTCGAAACTTTATTTGAACTTAATGGAACTTGAAAGTTCTGACGGAACTTTATTTGAACTTTATGGAACTTGAAAGTTCCGACGGAACTTTATTTGAACTTTATGGAACTTGAAGGTTCGGTTGGAACTTTATTTGAACTTTATTTGAACTTTATGGAACTTGGAAGTGATTTTAACCGTTGAATGCGGAACTTTTGGTTACTTGGGATATCCCTAAAAATATCGATTATTTAAGAACAACTTTTTTGTTTCAAGAGCTAATTAGTTACAGTGTTCAGCAAAAGCATGTGTTTAAACATGTAAAATATAGTTGTAGAAGAAACCAAAATTGTAGGATGCCTAGAAAATCAGTTATACTAAAAAACATGATTTAAATGGGCCATTCACGAAAAATGATACATATTTCGCAATTTATAAGAGTTAGTAATTTTGAGTGTTCGACAAAGTTGCTTAAAATAATATTTGCTACAACTTTTTTGCAGACGTTAAGTCTCTATCTGAATCAGATAAAAAAATATTTTTTGATCTCACTTTTAGGTGGACTAATCACCAAATCGTCTACATGAAAAGAAGCGGATTAACATATTCAAAAACATCTTTGAACAAACTATACCCCTAAAATCAATTTTTGAGAAGCTATTAAAAAAGCGCACGAAAACGTCAAAAAGCAACACTGTGCAATGCAACGCAACGGTTGATGTGCATTGACTTTGACGATTTCTCTTAATTATTTATTATTGAGGCATGTCATTTCCCAGCCCCTGACCCCATAACTACGCTTATGCTCAAAACCTACATCTGACTAAAGGTTTAGCAACTGCCTCACTCACTCGCTCGCTCTCCAAATGTTTGTGTTACAAGTAATGGATCTAGGGTCTGTCACATTGTTGCTGCCGGTGCATCTTTACTGAACTCTGAACTGCTTGTTGATTTGATTGATGTCCTCCGAGGATAATTGGAAACCCGACAGTCAGCAGAGCGTCCCAAAGAAGGATTTTATGCCACTGTAAGGAATCAATATTTGCTTCGGTTTTCAAGACCACGCCCGCCACTTTCCGCAGAAAAGTGTGTAGGGAATTCATTTTTCAAAACATGTGATTTATCATTTGGCAGAGCTTTACTTCCACCGACGTCGCCCGCTCGGAAGGGTGGGGTACGGTTGACACAACATCCACTTATCACGTCACTTTAATTGACATTGCCGTCGCCGTCATTGTCGTCAGTGCGTACGTTTACATGAAGGTACCGAAGTTTGCGTTGCAATCGGTGTGCAGTTTTTATTTTTCCAAGAACACACCCCGAGATAGACTAGGTCGAGCCCGTGCAGTGTGCAATTAATCGCCCGAACGGCTGTTGCATGTTTCATGATCGCTTTAGAACAGCTTCACACAAACACCAGCTGATCGAGAGACCCCGGAAAAAAAGGGCTGCCTCGAAACCGAAAGCGAGAGGGTAACGGATCCAATTGAAAAATTCCATCTGTCGCAACGGAACACTATGCGGAACGGTTTTATGTATGCGCTCGGTTTGGGCTGACTCTGATGACGACGGGAGCAGAACATGATGACAAACAACTGTGAAATGGGATCGAATTTGGATGATGTGGAACGGGATACGACAAAACAACGGCAGATGAATAAGCAAACCGATGCCAATAATGGAGGCTGACAGCTACAGGTTTAAGATTTCAAAAGGCAACGGTTTAGGGATTTGGGTGCAAATATGTTCAGCTGCGATATTACACCTGCATGGGTCGCCTTTTGATCGGAAAACCGGTCCGTGGATGGCTAAGTGTGGCAGTAGTTTACCAGGAAATGCAATTGTTTGTAAAAATCAATTTGAAGCCGCTAGCAAAAAGCAACTCTAAGGAAGGCTTAGTGTGCAAGTTCAAAAGCACATATGTCAGCATTCATAAAACATACAATAATAACATTGCTACGCTCTGCTTGTTGTAATAACCAAGGAGTAGCAGTTTAATATTTGTATGTTTTGTGGAAGCTGGCATTTGTGCTTTTGGACTTTAACGCTAACGCTTGCTTAGAGTATCACCTTAATGCAATGCAATGTCAGATTCAATGTGTTTTCGAGAGTTTGATTTTTTTACCACAGACAAAAAGAAATCACTCTAAAATGTTGAACTGCCGTCTGCGGCACGCAGATTCAATTCACATGAGTTTGACGTTTACAAACTGTTGAGCGTCCTACCAATGATTTGTAAAAGTCAGTATTGGGTAGAATAACAGCTGTACACATAATTTGAAAAGAAATAAATTTTAAATACGAGTACTAAAAAGGCAAAAAAAATTAATAAATATGTTACATAGCATTTCCAACCAACTATGAAATCATCATCATAAATTCACGATTGAAGTAACATAAAAACACTTTGAATGTAACATTTCAAGGCAGGACTAGTCGTCAATACTGCTGATGATGGTACAGCACGCAACAACCACCCTACTGCTTTCTCTCTGAGATGACCAAGTTGGTCATGACGAGAGGAGCAACACAATAGTTG